GGGCGTGGTGGGGGCGGGAGGGAGGGTATCACACGTGGATGTATAATGTAGGGGGTTGGGGTTAGGGTAAAGGTTACGGTTAGGGTTAGGGTTCGAGTTAGGGGGTATCACATGTGGTTAAGAACTGTAAAGAGTAATGGTTAGAGTTAAAGCACGTGGTTGTTAACTGTAAACTGTTAGGGTTAGGGTTAGAGTTAGGGCTAGGATTAGGGTCAGGTTCAGGGCCAGGGTCAGGATTAGGTAAGGGTTAGGTTAAGGTTAGGGTTAGGATTAGGGTTAGGGTTAGGGTCAGGGCTATGGTTAGATATAGGGTTTAGAGTTATCACACGTTCAATTAAATCTTTGAGGATGCCCATTCTGATCATTGTTCTAAAAATAATGTCTGATGTAAGTGTTGTTAAGCCCCCATTGACACATTTTTGATGGTTTAAGAGGCGGGCTTTTGACCCTTCCTGTAAGGGCCTACCGGGGCGGAGTATGATACAATATCTCAACAGGTAGCCACGCCAAGAGTCCAAACTGATATCACTACCTCATCATTACAAAGTTTTACATGACATTTCTGGCCGTTTTGAGTTACTATGAACATGAAGTCAGAAACCAAATGTACTATCCGCTTCATCAAAACCTACGCTTGTTGGGAGTTGTGGAGATATTCAAAAATCTGCTTTCGAAAGAGCTTGACTAAATGTTGTGAAACCCAAAATTGGTGACGTTAGATTTTTCAAAACTAGGTACTGAGCAGAAAGAACTTTGTAATTCTAGGGTAGCGAACTGTCAGTTTCAACTCTCGAGGGACAACATGTCAGACAGAACTTTGTCCGTTGCCCTCTTTGAGGAGAAAATGATACAGGTTGTAATCTTGGTTTTAAAAAAAAGGTTTTGCCATCTTCAAAGTCCAGCATGCAAATGAGTCACGCGCGAGTCATTTAGTTAATTTGGTTACGCTGGTTTCGAATTTGATATTTTTTTATTGGGGGGGGGGACGCTCCTAGTTTTCAGTATGTTTATATTCCTTCATTATATCCCTATTCTTCCTTTACTCCCCCCGCCTCATTGTCTCCCTCAACCCTCTTCGTCAACGTCCCCCTTTCCCCTCTCCAAAACTACCAATCCCGTTCTCATCCCCCCTCTCCCATCCCTTTTTTCCTCCATCTCCTTTTAATTCTTCCCTCTTCTCCCTTTCGTCTATATATTCCCCGCCACCCCCAACCATGCCGTGGTTTCTCTCTCCCTCCTCGTCCCCCTACCCCGCTCACCTCCACGACTCCCTTTAAAATTCTTCCCTCCTCTCACTACCCCTCAATTACACCCCCCCCC